AGAATGAGATTGCCATTGGCTGAGACAGTGGACACACAGGTTGAAAGGTCAGGGGCATTCTTGTGGCCATGTTAGTTTGAGGTCCTATTTTATGTTTAAGTGAAAATGCAGAACAGGCAGTGGAAATAAGAGATTCGAGGGGTGTGGGGAGGCCCAGGCTGGAGCCCTGCACTTGGGATGGGTTTGCAACTGGGAGATAAAATGAGATCACCAAGGAAACGAGTAGAAAAGGGGAGGATCAAGGACCCAGCCCTGGGCCCTCTGAGATAGGGAGGTCAGGGAAATGAGGAAGAACCAGCAAAGGAGACCAAGATGCTAGAGGTGAGGGGAGAACACTGGAAGAGCAAGGTAACCAGGAGGCCAAGCAAGGGCAAAGGATGTTGAGGGAGGTGGAGTCAGCAACTGCGGCAAGTGTAGCTGGCAGGTCCAGAAGGAAGATGGAGAACTGGCCTCTGGTCTGGTAACAAGGAGCTCACTGATGAACATGATGAGGACACCCTTGGTACAAAGATGAGGGCCAGGCTAGGCACGGTGGCTCGCGCCTGTAATCCTACCACTTTAGGAGGACAAGGTGGGCGGATCACTTGAGGTCAGAAGTTTGAGACTAGCATGGCCAACATGGTGAAACCTCACTCTACTAAAAATACAAAAAATTAGCCAGGTGTGGTAATGCGTGCCTGTAGTCCCAGCTACTTGGGAGGCTGAGGCAGGAGAATGGCTTGGACCCAAGAAGTGGAGGTTGCAATGAGCCGAGATCATGCCATTGCCCTCCAGCCTGGATGACAGAGTGAGACTCTCTCTCAAAAATTAAAAAATAAAAGTAAAAAAATATAAAAAAAAAAGAAAGATGAGCGCCAAAGTCCACGTAGATTGGGTTACAGAGAGGAAGGGAACACCTCTTTCAAGTTTTTCTATAAAGAAAGCGAAAGAAACAATGTAGTAGTTGGAAGTGGAAATGGGGCGAAAAAGTTTTAGGTTGGGTGTGGTGGCTCACACCTGTAACCCCAGTCCTTTGGGAGGCTGAGGCGGGAGGACTCCCTGAGCCCAGGAGTTCAACCAGCCTGGGCAACATAGTGAGACTCCATCTCTACAAAAAATACAAAAATTAGCCAGGCATGGTGGCATGTGCCTGTAGTCCCAGCTACTGGGGAGGCTGAAATGGGAGTATCACTTGAGCCCAGAAGGTCAAGGCTGCTGTGAGCCGAGTTCACAGCACTGCACTCCAGCCTGGGCTAACAAAGCAAGATCCTCAGTCAAAAAAACATTTGTTTTGTTTTGAGCATGGGAGAAATAATAGCATGATGGTATACTGATAGGCTGGATCCAGTGGAAGAGGGAAAATTGAAGACAGAGGAAAGAGCGGAATGGCTGCTGGAGTAATGTCCTTGTGAGAAAATGGGGGCGCTGGCCTCAGACAGGAGTGCAGAAGGCCTATCCTCAGAAGCCAGGGAAATGGCAGAATTTACAAGAACAGCTAGATATGGTATGGGGGCCCTCTTCTGAGTCTGTTCTGTCTTCTCTCCTGAGAGAAGTATGAATTAGTCATTGTGATGAGTGGGTGAGTAAATCATCCAGGGAGATACAGTATGATTTCTGGGCAGCATTCAGGGCTCATGGGAAGTGAGTGATTACCATTTCCAAATGACACCATACAGCGTGGTTGTGTGCATTTTTTTTCCCAGTTGCTCAGTTGGAGAGGAGGGGGTGGAGAGCTCGCTTTGACAGGGCTGGGGTTTTGCCAAGTTAGTATGCCAAAGTGAGAGGGAGCAAGGGAACGGTTGTAATGGTGAACCATGGGACGTAAGTGGGGCCTGAGAAGCAGGCTAGCTCGAGAGAGCCTGGGCTGGTGGCACTGAACGCAGCAGTAGAGCAGTGGGCAACTAGGCCCCCTGCGATGCCATGCTAGGGCATTTGGTGGAACTGTTGCCTGTGATATTGGGAAGGTGGGCTGTGTAGTCCTCCAAACCTGTAATCTGGGTCTGGGGACATGAGAGACACTCATAGTAACCTCCTGAGAAGTGGCATGGTGTGATGGCTACACATAAGGAAGCTGGAGTCTCTGTTCAAATCCAGGCTTTGCCATCTTCTCCTTGGACGACCTGGCAGGTTACTTAGCCTTTCTGGGCCTTGATCCCTTATCTTCCTGGGGCCATCGCGAAGATTAAATGAGATACTGCACACGAAGTTCTTAGCCCACTGGTAGACACATAGACTCGGCTCAGTACAGATGCTGTTGCTGCCTGGCTGAAAACGGACTGGGGATTCCACACACCCTGCTGCCCGGAGTCTCTGCGTGGGAGCGGACAGGCCCTTTTTCCTCCCATCTCACTTCCTCTCCTCCTCCAGCCACCAAAATACGACAGCCTGACACTCCATGTCCCCACCGCATACGGGAAAGGAGGTTTCCCATTGGCCGCAGGCAGAGACAAGCCACAGTGAGATGAGCGCTTTGGCTGCTGCTATGGCAACCAGCAATGACCAGACTTCAATTAGGAAGGAGGAATAAAAGGCATCCAATTAGGAGAAGAAAATAGGATTTAGCCTCTTCTCGTTTAGGAATGCCCAGAGCCAAGGGAATGCTTCGCTGGAGGAGACCAGGCTTGCCAACCCCTTCAAGTCACCACCCCCACCTCTGAGCTCCAGGGAGCCCTGTGCTGGCAAAAAGACAACACAGAGGCACTGACGTGTGTGGACATCGGAGGTAGACCCGCTGGGGTTCAAATATGGCTTCTGCCACTTTCCTAACTGTGTGATCTAGGAAAAGTCTTTCGCCTCTTTGTGCCTCAGTTTCTCCACTGGAATACGCTACCTATTTTGCAAGGTTGGAGCTAGGATCAATAGAGATAATGGGCTGGGCACGGTGGCTCACACCTGTAATCCTAGCACTTTAGAAGGCGGAGGCAGGCGGATCACTTGAGGTCAGGAGTTTAAGATCAGCCTGGGCAACATGGCGAAACCCCGCCTCTACTAAAAATACAAAAATTAGCCAGGTATGGTGGTGTGTGCCTGTGGTCCCAGCTACTCGGGAGTCTAAGGCAGGAGGACTGCTTGAACCTGGGAGGCGAAGGTTTCAGTGAGCTGTGATCACGCCACTGCACTCCAGAGACTGAAAGCGAGATTCAGTCTAAAACTAAAAAAAAAAAAACAGAGATAATGCATGTAAAGAGCTTAGCTCAGTGCCTGCCATATAAACTGCATCCTACTGGCATTAATTATTGCATTATTGTCAGTAACAACATCATTGGCCTCACCTGGGAGCTTGTTAGAAATGCAGACTCTCAGGTTCTGCTCCAGACTTGCTGAATCAGAATCTGCATTTTAGCCAGAGCTCCAGGTAACTTGTGTGCATGGCACAGTTTGAAGCGCTGCTTTAGCGCCTTGTTTAGTGTTCAGAGAACCACCTCCAGGAAGGCAGTATGAGCCAGATTTTACAGATAAGGGAAATGAGACTGAGAATTGCAGATTGTGAGGAGACACAGCTGGAAGGGCAAGCCTGGTGACAGCCCCAGGCCACATCCTTGGATTGCCATGATAGAGAAGGGTTTTACAGAGCATGCAGATCAAGGCAAGGATGGAGAGCAAAGAGATTCCCTTCTCTGGGCAAACGCCTGTGAGTTACAGCAGGAGAAAGGGGTGAGCCCTCCGAGAAGGCAGTGAGAAGCTCCACATTCCAGCTTCCAGACATGGAGGCAGGAGAGGCTTGGAGAGGTGTACACATCTTGTTTCTCCCCTTTGCACACATCCCACATTTTCCTCCATCACTTCAACCCATCCATTTCCAACACGGCCCTCCTCACAGTTCATTTACATCTTAGCCATCAATGCTGGCGCCTTGTCTGTTTGGTTCCCCATTGAATCCCCAGCCGCAGACACAGGGGTGGGGACACAATAAGCTCCCAGTGCAGATCTGAGCATGAGTGGAGCAACCTTCTAGGTATAATGCCCACGCTTGGGCTCCTTCGTGCTCACAGTTATCAATGAAATACTCTAACACTAAATGGCATCAGAGTTAACAAAGCCCTTTACTTCTTTTAATTCACTTGTACATCGTAAGCCCGAGTTAGCTATTATATAAATCCCCCTTCTACAGATGGGAAAGCTGAGTATCTGTCTGCACTTGGGTCTGCCTGTCTCTTAGGACACAATGTACCTGGGCTACTTCATTCCTAGTCCTGACTCCTGCCAATGCAGTGAGAGATGGAAGCCAGAGGAGGTCAGTTTCAGGGAGGAGACTAGCAATGGCCCCATTCAGTGAGAACCCACTGTGGGTCAGACACTTGAACAGGTGCTTTACAGGTGCTATCTCAATCCTTATAAAGATTCTTCTAGTGGGCATGATGGAGGCATTATCATTTGCATTTTACGGATAAGAAAAATGAGGATCAGAGATGTTAAGTACCTTGCCCAAGGTCATCCAGCTATACAGCAAGTGGTAAAGGTGGGATGTGAAGGCCTATGTGTTTGTTTTCATTATTCTGTGCTTTTTTTTTTGGCACAGGGTTCTGCTGTTGCCCAGGCCAGAATACTGTGGCATGTCAGCTCACTGCATGCACCACCAAGCCTGGCTAATTTTATTTTTTGTAGAGATGGGGTCTTGCTGTGTTGCCCAGGCTGCTCTCGAACTCCTGCACTTGAGCGATCCTCTGGCCTTGACCTCTCAAAGGGTTGGGATTACAGACATAAGCCACCACACAGCCATAGTCTGTGCTTATCTAATCTCTCATGCTGTAGAGTAAAGCTGCGGCATGCGGCGTTTTCCAGGTTCTGGCAGTTTTAAAAGGCACTTTCAGGTCCATTATTCTTCCTCTCGCGAAAGAGTTCCTTCCCTCCTACCCTAAGTCTGAGAACAACATTCACCTGTGGAAGCCTTGCTGCCTAGACTCCAAGATGAGCCTGATTGATAGCACAACCCGCGTCTCCTTCAAGCCTTCCTGAAGCTCAGGGTGGACCAATCTCCATACACACAGAAGGCCAGCCAGCCAGCCAGACGCGGCCCTTACCAGGCACTCTTCCAGATGGCTCCTGTCGGTGGTACAGACATCGACTCTTAAGGTCTTCTGGTGAAGGGCTGGATAGGACATGGATACCCAGAACACCTCATTGAACACTAGAGTGTCTGAGGCGTCCAGGGGCCGGGTCCGGAACAGGCAGGTGGTGCTTTCAGAGCAAGGAAGGACAGCCACACGGATATTCCTAGAGGGAGACAGAACCGCAGGAAACCTTGGGTCAGCCCATGTCTGGGGCTTAAGTGTTGAACTAAACAGCTGCTGAAATCCCTAAGCAAACAACAGTGGATGAGAGTTTGTAGAAGTGAGGAATCTGGGGAATCAGGCCCCATACACTGGAAGAAACTTTGAAAAATCGAACAAAATTCCAGATGCATTTGTCCTGTGGTCCAGACCTTTCACTTCTAGGCATCATCCCACAGATACCCCTGCCTGAGTACCAGTGAGTTATGGAGAAGGCTATTCAGCCTGGCACCATCTGGGTGGGCAAAAGACTGAAAATGACCCAAGCATCCCATCTTGTCTTCCTTCTGTTTTGTCCGCCTTCCTGCCCTTCCTTCTTCCCATATTTGCCACCCTCACAGGCTGGCTGGGTGTAGACCACAGACACATAAGCTTCTGTTGCCACCCTCTGGGCCTTATGATCTGAGAAAACTTGTAGGCAGATGAGTGCAATAAAGGATAAACCCATCTACCATGGGAGGAGCCCGCATGCGGACAGAGCAGGTGTTTGCATCCTATCAGCATCAAGGTAACATGCAGTCACACCCCTCCAAGAGAAGCACACTGACTGGTGCTGACTCTTGGAAAGAGAAGACCCAGCTCTCTCTGTAAGAAACACTTGAGCTTAGGAGAAGATAAAACAGACTGTGACCATTTCTTTCCATGAGGCTCAAAGTCCAGGAGGGTAGAGCCCAGGAAGGATCTGCTCACCACCCCATTCCTAGAGCTGGCATTCAGCAGGTGCTCAGCATGCCATGGGGCAGGAATTCACACAGTCATCTAGAGTGCTTGTCTTTACAGTTGGTGTGCTTGCCATTGTGCCTGTATTCACATGCACAGCACTGACATTTAGCATCACAGCCATATGCATTACAAACCCACAGTGTCTTGACATGGCCCATAACTGGATCAGGACAGGACACAAAAGTGACCCCCAGGGGTGACTCCGGAGGGTGAGAGTATGATACACACCCGTCCAGCTACATACTCACACTTTCTGGTCTTGTTGCTGCAACAGAGCAGAAAGGTTACTCAGCTGGATGATTAATATTGCAAATTGCTTATTCTTCTCATCATACCTGAAATGAAAAGGGGCATATGAAGTACCTATTAATAACACGCTCATCTCTCTCATTCCTTCTCTCTGTTAAAAGTCACAGGACGTGGCTATTGGCTGCCCTGGGGACTATGGTGAGCTCAAGAGCACGGGCCCAGTGCTTTGCTACCATGCAGGGATGTAGCACTACAGCTGTCAATTGTTTGAAAAAAAATTTTTGTTTTTTGAAACAGGGTCTCACTCTGTCATCCAGGTTGAGTTCAGTGGTATGATCAGGGCTCATGGTAGCCTCAACCTCCCAGGCTCAGGTGATCCTCCCACCTCAGCCTCCTGAGTAGCTAGGACTACAGGTGTGCATCACCACATCCAGCTAATTTTTTGTATTTTTAGTAGAGATGGGGGTTTCATCATGTTGCCTGAGCTGGTCTTGAACTCCTGGAATCAAGTGATCCATCTGCCTTGGCCTCCCAAAGCGTTGGGATTACAGGTGTGATCCACCACGCCCAGTCAGTTGTCTGAATTTTTAAAAAGAACCCATAAATGTGGGTGAAATTTCATGATATGGTAATGTTGTCAACTAATTCCTATTAAAAAATACTGAAGGCCAGGTGTGGTGGCTCATGCCTGTAATCTCAGCACTTTGGGAGGCCAAGGTAGGCAGATTGTTTGAGGTCAGGAGTTTGAGACCAGCCTGGCCAACACGGTGAAACCCCATCTCTATTAAAAATACAAAAGATAGCCGGGCGTGGTGGCACACGCCTGTAATCCCAGCTACTTGGGAGGCTGAGGCAGGAGAATCGCTTGAACCCAGGAGGCAGAGGTTGCAGCAAGCTAAATCGCACCACTGCACTCCAGCCTGGGTGACAGGTGAGACCCTGTCTCCAAAAACAAAACAAAACAAAACAAAAAATTGAGATCATCCCCCAACAAGAGAAAAGAAAAAGAACAACCATGTGTGTATTGACCCAATCTGGGCTGCAGCCCCCAGTGATCAACTTCCATCCAGATCAATGAAACCTAGAGGGGATGGAAAGACAAAAGCCACAGCAACAACGAACAAACACACTGAGAGGCAGGAGGTCTCAGTCCCAGTCCTGGCTCTGCCACCAGCCAGCTCCGTGAGTTGGGCCAAGTCATAAGGTCTTTGAAAACCTCATTTCTCCTATCTGTAAAGCGGACGGCTGGGAGGTGAGGAATGAATCAGCGTCCCTTCAGTTAAGAAGCTGCAATGGCCAGCAGGTCCTGCCGGTGCTGCCCTCCACCCTGGGCGGCTGTGAAGGTAAATGCAGGGGAATGCTGCGGATGAAGAAGGGACCCCACACAGACGGTTCCTTCTATCCTCATCGTCCTTGTCACTTACTTCAGGGCAATCTGAACTCGGGCCGCACCCAATGCTTCTGATTCGTCACTGTCAAACGCAGCAGCTTCTGAAGCACCCAGTCTGAAAGGCAACAGGGGAGGGGGAGTTAGGCTTCCTTGCAGTGAACAAACTGTTTTGGGAGGCTGAGGTTACATCCCCAGGAAGGAAAGTTGGGGTTTGCTCAGCTTCCCCCCAGGTCCTTTTTTAAATTTTAATTAAAAAAACTTTTTAGAGATCGGGTCTCACTATTTTGCCCAGGCTGGTCTCGAACTCCTGGTGTCAAGTGATCCTCCCATTGAAGCCTCCCAAGTAGCTGGGATTACAGACTCATACCACTATGCCCAGCTTGGACTCCTCTCTTAAGGGACCTGGCCTTTCTCTAGCGCTTGCTCCTTAGCCATACACCTTTTTCATAGCTACCACAGAACTAGCACTCCCCTAAACCCGAAGTATCTCTAACCCTAGGAGAAGTTATGCTGTCTGTGCCTTGGGCTGCCAAGAGGAAGGTGGGGTCACGCCCTCTTGGGGCTCCTCCCACACACTGTGGGGGCCAAAACCTAAGCCACCCCACAGGCCTAGGCTCTGGACATTCAGAGTTCATGGCTTACGTGGCCACGGAGAGAGCCAGCACCCAGACACCCACCTCTGCACAGAAGCCTCGTACACACCACTGTCCCCAGCCACTGACTCGTCCGATACCGCGGCTGAGACACAGGCCACTTTCAGGCCACACCCCTGGGCCGTATTCACAGCTAGAGAAGGAAAATGGAAAGTCAGGTTCAGGAACCAGAAAACTGTCTTTGCAACTCCCAATTTTGTTTTGTTTTTGAGGCAGGGTCTCACTCATCCAGGCTGGAGTGCAGCGGCATGATCGTGGCTCACTGCAGCCTCGACCACTCTGGGTTCTGGTGATCCTCCCACCTCCGCCTCCCAAGTTCTGGAACTACAGGCATGTGCCACCATACCCAGATAATTTTTAAATTATTATTATTTTGTTGCAGAGATGGGGTTTTGCCATATTGCCCAGGTTAGTCTTGAACTCCTGGTCTCAAGAAATCCGCCTGCTTTGGCCTTCCAAAGTGCTGGGATTACAGGCGTGAGCCATCGTAATCCCAACACTTTGGGATTTTGGGAGCCTGAACTCCCAATTTTGATACACTCTCTATGGATGAAAGATGGTTCCACCAAATTCCAACCACCTCTAAATGCTAAAGCAAAAAAAAAATTTAAAAAAGTTTGCTTTGGGGTGATGGAAGGAGTCACATGTGATTTTGTGTTTTACCATCCCAGGCTCTGGAGTCAAACTGCCTGGATTCAAATCCAGTTCCACCACTTACTACTTCATGACCTTGAGACACTGACTTAATCCCGTTAAGCCCCAGATGCCTCATTTGGAAAACTTGGATAATAATACCTACTTATTATTATCCAAGTTGAGAGGACTCAGCGAGACATTATAGGGGAAATCCTTAATGTAGAGATTGGTGCAGGCAGGCAAAGTGCTCTACACAACTCATTACAGCTATCCTTATTGCCACTACTGTTCCTATCACTGTGGATATCTATACTTTCAATGGCAAAAACCGCAATTACTTTGCACCAACCTAATAGATCCATCCCTACCCACCTGGGGCAAAATAACAGCCCCTGGACCCTCAGGACAGAGAAGGGAGAGATTAAGCACCCGTTCTTCCACTGCCTATCCCTTTCCACTCCTAATTCAGCTCCTCCTCTTCCCTACCCTTAACAGGGGCCCTTGAAAGTCTCTGATCTGAGGCTCATAACTAAGCACTCAACACATGCTGCACATTCCTTCCTTGCCCAAGTAATGAACACCCACGATATGCCAGGCCCATTGCCATGTTCGGAACTACAAAGATGAATAAGACAATTCCTGCCCTTCTTGCAGGGGGGAAGGCCAGATCCAGATCTTACAATCTCACAGCTAACACCTCTGAGCACCTGCGGACAGACTGGAGAAGGGCAACGGCTCACAGCATTGAGGGGCACAGAGTCCGGGGCATGGCAGGCTGGCGATGGCGATGGGTGACAAGGCGGGTCTGGGAGACGGCAAGTGCTGGCGATGGGGAAGCCAAGCCTGTGTCCCGTGCCTGCTGAGCCCGTGGAGACCTCCTGCTTTCAGACCCACACATCTCCACCCTCCACTAAACCACTTAAGGAGATTAATTTGTCTGCTGACTGAACAGCAGCACTAATCACATAACCTGCTTAGCGTCTGAGCTCTGCCTGGCATTGCTAGCCGTAGGGAAGGCTTCTGGAGATGGCACGAAGGAAATGCCATCCCGAGACCTGTGTGTGCCCAGCCTAATGTGCTGTCTTAGGCCCACAAGCCCCAAGGACACTGTTGGGGAGGGGAGAGGAGGGGGTCACTTCACAGGACATAGCTGGGGTCTGAGTGTCCTGACTTGGCTTAATATTGCCATCAGAGGTACGCCCCTTGAGCCTCGTTAGAGATTCCACCGGTGCCCCCTCCTCTCCAGGGAACAATTTTCTGAAGCTTGCCGCCTGCTATAGTAGGGCGCTTGCTTTTATTTTGAGAGCACTCAGCAAGACTCCCTTCCTGATGAGGGAAATCCAGGGATCTCCCGGCTCCTCTTCTAAGGAAACACTGGCACTCAAAGCCTTTGTTAACAAGGAAACCTCATTTCCCTACCATGCTCCCCCTGGCCCCTGCACACAAATGGACAATTCTGGGCACAGCAGCAGCACTCCTGCCCGTGCCTGGAGCCACGGGGCTAATATGGGTCTGGCTGCTTCTAGCTGGCCTCACCTGGAGCCAGGAGCACAAGCTTTTTGTAGACAGAACTTGGCACATGGATAACGGTGTGCATTCTGAGCAGGTGGTCCTTGTGCCAGTTCCGGTCTTGCCATTTCACTCTGTGGGACTAACCTCAGACAAGTCTTTTAACCTCACTGTGCCTCGCTGTTTTCATCTTTAAGATGGAGATAAAAGGGACAGGGCTTGGTGGTTCACGCCTGTACTCCCAGCACTTTGGGAGGCCAAGACGGGTGGATCAACTGAGGTCAGGAGTTCAAGACCAGCCTGGTCAACATGGTGAAAGACCGTTTTTACTAAAAATACAAAAAATTAGCCAGGCATGGTGGCGTGCACCTGTAATCCCAGCTACTTGGGAGGCCGAGGCAGGAGAATCGCGTGAACCCAGGAGGTGGAGGTTGCAGTGAGCCAGGATGGCGCCACTGCACTCCAGCCTAGGTTACAGAGTGAGACTCCGTCTCAAAAAAAAAAAAAAAAAAAAAAAGATTAAAAATAGCAAACACTTCCCAGAGGTGTTGTGAGGCTTAAATGAGTAAATATGCACAGAAGTACCTGAATCCTAAACATCTGTACTCTATATAGCAGAGCCATGATTATTGTGAGCTATTACTACTGTGGCCAGGAAAGCCAAGGAGGCCCAGGTGAGTTTACCCAGCACCCTACTCAGTCCTGACCTTCACACCCAGAGCCAGATGGGGTTGGTGGGGCCCCAAGCACCAGGAGTTGGCATGAATGTGCACACTGAACTGCCTCCCAGCCTAAGGCATGACAATAAAGGGGTTGGGTTCTGGGGCCAGAAAGACTCAGGTTCCTATCCCTGCTTCCTCGCTTGTTGGCTGGGTGACCTAAGGCAAGTGACATCACCTCTCTGAATCTCCAATTCCTCATCAGTGAAATGGACAGAATAGAAATAACCTATTTCACCATATATTAAGCACATTGCCCAACTCATAATACATCCCCAATAAAAGTTAACTATTATTATTTATTATGTGGTTGTTGCTAAAGATAAAAAGGTTTTCCCCTAATAAATCTTAGCTGTCAATGTCAGCATCATCTTCCGTTTTGAAGATTCCAACTTAAATCCCGACCAATATCCACCAAAGCGTTCTTTCTGACCCCATGCAGAATGGGAGTCAGCTCGTATCATACTAGCTTCAAACAGACACATGGGTCCCCAGTGCAATTAGGATAAAATCCAAACTCCTTAGCATAGCCCACCAGGCCTTTCAGGATCTGGACTCTGCCTAGTTCTCCAGCCTCGCTGGTAACCCCTACCTCTGACTCACGGCTTCCTGGCTCCCCTTCTATTCCCTTGCTCTGACCTCAGAGATTTTGCTCTTGCTTTTCCCAAGGCTGGCTCCATCTCACCATTCAAGACACCCTCAAATGTCATCTTCTTTCACAACCCAACCTGCCCCGGCAGTCCCACCTCCAACCTGAAAGCCTGGATCACATTCCCCGTTTTATTTCCTTTGTAGTGCTTGTTTGGTTACAGGTTCATTCCCTGTGCCTCCATCTGAACATAAGCTTCATGAGAACAGGGACCCTGTGTGTCTTCAGCACAGAATCCTTAGTGACCAACCCAGTGCCTGACACACAGCGTATCTGTTGAATGAATGGACAGATGAATCCATGTGTATCCGTTAGCACAGGATGACCTGACACTTAGTTTTATAAGGTGCTAAATGTCTGTTGGAAGACAGAATCTACTACCAAAAACCCTTCGCACAGGACCCCAAAAATACTGAGCTAATAAATACCCCACTGAATAAATATACTTGTCAAAGAAAGACCCAGCACACAGAAAGCAGTCAGTAAATACAGACTAGAATGATCACTGGGGGTTCTGAGCACAGAGTATCTCTTTCCCTCTTCCCGGTTCCCACCCTCTGGGCATGGTGCTCTCTACCTTGGCCCAGCTGCTTGCCCTCCGTTCCTGGTTCCTCCAGCCGGTATCTTTCCTGGGTGCTGTTACCAAGGTTCAGTTCACAAAGAGTGGCACTCAGCTCCGGGTCTTCAAACTCCAGGGAGTTGAGGAAGGCATCACCAGCCAGGAGCGGGTCAGCCATGAGAGGGGAACAGGGTGGGGAGGGGGAGGAGAGAGAGGAACGTGGGGACAGGGAGGTCATGGACTTTGGGGTGCCAGACAGGGAACGCAGAGCCTGCAGGCGGCCACCTCCCTCTGCCTTCTGGGTCTTGGCCACCTCGTCCTCATGGATGGTGGTGATGCAGCCCGAAGGCCGGAAGCCGGTGGCCCCCTCCAGGAGCAGAAACTCCACCTTGCTCTGCAGCTCTGAGTCCAGCTGCTCAAAGGGGTCATAGTAGAGGTCAGTGAAGCTGGCTGAAGTGGAGGAGTCCAGGCTGGATGCAACCAGGGAGCCCCGGCTGGACGTGAGGGATCCGGGGCTGCTGCCTGAGGACAGGGACTGCATGCTGCTTGAGAGACTGGGACACCGGGAGGGGAAGGACAGTGAGATGCACACAGTGAAGTGGGCCCCCTGAGCCCCTCTGCTGGGCTCTGGAAAGCACCATGATCTCACTAGACTTGCTTGGCAATCTCTAGGGTAGACCCTTCACCCCCATTTCATGGAAAACTGATACTCCAAGAAGGCCATATAATCAAGACATGGCAGAGCTGGGCTTTGGACTCAAGTTAGCTGCCTTAAAAGTTCACTTTTTCCTCTAGATCTGTTTCCCAAAGCTCCAATGGGCTACATTTGTATATTTTTTCATAGTTGAATCCACTATGAAATAAAAATTTCTTAATGTCTTTCTTGAAATCAACTCACTGTTTTTTTTTTTTTTTTGCAGACGGAGTCTTGCTCTGTCGCCCAAGCTGGAGTACAGTGGCACGATCTTGGCTCACTGCAACCTCTGCCTCCTGGGTTTAAGCAATTCTCCTGCCTCAGCCTCCTGAGTATCTGGGACTATAGGCGCCCACCACCATACCCGGCTAATTTTTTGTATTTTAGTAGAGACAGGGTTTCACCATGTTGCCCAGGTTAGTCTCAAACTCCTGAGCTCAGGCAATCCACCCGCCTCGGCCTCCCAAAGTGGTAGGATTACAGGCGTGAGCCACTGCGCCCACCCCAACTCACTGTTTTAATACTTTAAAACATCTATCTTAAAGAAAACTTTACATCCTAAGTGTAATTTGAAAAGCAGTATCACTTACTACAAAGAGAAGGCCACCATTAGAAAAAAATCTAATGAAACAAAATGTTGTTATTAGATGCCAGTGATGCACTGTTGTTTATGGACGCCCAGGCCTGAGGCTACTTTCTCTGCGTTGTACAGGCAGGTGGCAGTGTGAGTTTCCTAAGTCTTTTTTTTTCTTTTTGGAGACAAGGTCTGGCTCTGTCACCCAGGCTGGAGTGCAGTGGCATGATCTCGGCTCACGGTAAGCCTCCTCCCAGGCTCAAGTCATCCTCCCACCTCAGCCTCCCGAGTAGCTGGGACCACAGGCATGCACCGCCACACCTGGTTAATTTCGCAGTTTTAGCAGAAATGGGGTTTCGCCATGTTGCCCAGGCTGGTTTCAAACTTCTGAGCTCAAGCGATCCACCCACCCTGGCCTCGCAAAGTGCTGGGATCACAGGTGTGAGCCATGACACCCAGCCAAGTCTCCTAAGACTTCCTAGTACCTGCCTGGGGCCTTCTTTGTGCTGTCAGTCTGGAGAGGTCAAGACCCCTATTCCTAGCCACACCAGGCCACGCCCGAGTCTGCTGACAATCCACTTGCTGTGCTTCTAAACGTCCACACTCAAGCCACGGAGGACAAGTGAAGGGTAGAGCCTGGGCTGGGACACTGGGGACACCCATGTCTGGCCATGCCCAGGGGAGCAGTGGCCTCACCGCCCACACTCACCTTTTCAGCTGAGAGTGCAGAGTTGCCACCTGCCGAGTGGCTTCCTCCAGTTCTCTCACCAGCTGGTTCCTCTTACTGTTTAACTTTAACCTGGAGGGAGAGAAAGCATGAGAGGGATGCCCTGAAAGGAAGCACAGGCATGCACTCTTACCCATGTATACCCAGACCCACAGGCACAAGAACTTTCCGCAAGCATTTGACCATGGCAACCAGGGAGCTAGAGCATCCACATACACTATAATCCTATGATAAGTACAGTATCACTCACCCACTATATATATATATATATCAGGCGATCTGCTAGGAACCTTAGGACACGCCTTAATTCAGTCACACAATAATGCTGCATAGTAAGAATGACTTCTACCACTTTACATAAGAGGAAATTGAGGCCCTTAGAGTTGTATAATTTACCTAAAGCTGTGGAATTAGTGGCAGAATTAGGATTTCACCCAACCATATCCTCCTCCTCTTCCTTCCTCCCTCTTTCATCTCATATTTACTGAGTGCCCATTTTGTACTGGACCCTTCCCATGGCACTGGGGATAAAGTAGTAAGTGAGCACAGTAGGACTTGTTTCTGTTCTTATGGGGCTTACACTCTACTGGGGAGAACCGATATTAAACAAATACTCAAATACCTATTTAACACAGTGTATGACAAGGTCCATCAAGAAAAAGTACACAATGGTAGAAAAGAACACAAAAGGAGAGGCCCAATTTGAACTGGCAGGTGAGCCTCTTCCAGCCAAGTGACTCTGTGGCTGAGACTGGCAGTGTGTACCCTGCCCTGTCCCTGGACCATTTTCCCAGCCTTCCCTGCAGCCGGGTGGGCAGGGCATATGACCAAGTTCTGACCAATGGGATATGAGCACAGGTAGTTAAGAACAGTGGGTGTGTCTTCTTCACTGTCTCTTGCATGGACTCTCGTGGACTCAAAGTGGGAGGTGTTACAGATGGAAAGAGCATGGGTTCCTGAATGACCACATGGAAGGCTGCCTGTTAACCGGACATACCCAATTAGACATTATACGGACAAGAAATAAGCCTGTTGTGTGAAGCCACAGACACTTTGGGGGCTGCTTCTTGCAGCAGTTAGATTCCTGACTAGTAGAGAAATTTAAGGATGGATAATGGACAGCAGTTGGCTAGGAAAAGTGCAGGAGGAAAGAACATTCCAAGCGGGGGCTTTAGCAGAGACCCGTCATCTTAAGGTCACCATGACTGTGGGGAGGACAATGGGCAGGAGGCTGAAGACTGAATGCAGGAAGGGTGGCTGTGAGGTGTAACCGAGATGGTGGAGGCTTGAGCAATGCAGAGACAGAGACAGTGCCTGGGCTGCAGGAGCGGGTGAGGCTGAGGGAGTAAATGGGGAAGACTCTGTGGTTACTGCTATGGGCACCCAAGTGGACCTGCAGATGGCATCTGCTAAGAGGAGAAGGCTGAGGCAGGGGAACCCGGGGGACGAGAAGAGCTCTATTATGGATATGTGGGTATGAATGCTGAATAGGTGGGCTGCTGTGAAGGTCGGGGGGGCGGTCCCTATCAGATGGATCACCACCTGAATGAGATTACCATCTGCTCTGGTTTGATTTTTGTTCCCCTGAAATCCTACTTTGAAGTCCTAAGCCCCAGTACCTCCGAATGTGATAGTATTTGGAGATAGGGCTTTTAAGGAGTAATTAAGGTAAAATGAGGTCAGTAGGGCAAACTCTAATCCAGTATGACTGGTGTCCTTCTAAGAGGAGATTAGGGCACAGGCACGGGGGAAGACCATGTGAAACGGAGGGAGGAGGAGGCCATCTACACACCAAGGGAAGAGACCTCAGAAGAAAGCAACCCCGCTGACATCTGATCTTGGACTTTTACCTTCCAGACTGTGAGAAAATAAATGTTTAAGTCACCCAGTCAGTCTGTGGTACGTTGTTATGGCAGCCTTAGCAGACTCATGCACCATCTTAGGGCACAATACAGAATCGAAAACAAGGGAAGGTCTAGGACCAAGCTCTGAGTACACACAACATTCCGAGGTTGGGTAGACTGGCAACAGTCAGCAAAGGAGCTGGAGAGAATGGGACCAGAGAGTCGGGAGAAGTTGGTGGATGTGATGGAATGTCACAGAACCGGAAGCAAAGATTTTCACCCAGGCATGCCTGGCACCAAAGCCCAATTCAGTAAACCATCTCCCTGGAGGCAAATCCTTCTGTTTGGAAGAGACCTCTGGCTTTAGGACCATATTTCAGCCCCTACCTCTCCTGAAATCCCCCATGGAGGGCAGCTTGGGCGGACTCCAGGTGTGTCTCTGCCCCTGGAATGGCTCTCCAACCCCTGGAGTGCGCCCACTACAAAATAAAGGACCCTATCAAATAAGCCCGTGCCCTCGCAAACTCATGACCTGGGCTGCTCTCGTGTGTCTACTAGCCTAGTCTTTCTCAGCTTGCGGCCCACAGACTATCTGCATCAGACAGTGGGGAGTGCTTATTGAAATGCACATTCCTGGGCCCTACTCTGACCTGCTGAATCAAGAAGCCCAGGGGTAGGGCCCAGAAATCTCTCTTTTCGTTAAGCCTCCCAGGTGATCTTTAGGCACACCAAGGTTTGCAAGCTGCCGCACTGCAGGGGGACGGCAGAGAGGCAGAGGCTGTGTCTTGCTCACTCAGCACCTAGCACCTAGTATAGTGCCCACCACGTAGACAGGCTCAATATTTGCTGAACGGATGACTTTTTCTCCAGATGAAGCAGGCAGAGTTTATGAGCTCTGCTGAAACACCTGTATGTTATCATACATTCCATGGACAGGTGTGTACCACTGTTGGCCTCCATCCCCTCATGTCAACCTGCTGAAGAGGGGATGACTGACTAGCTGGTCCCTGGACTGGGAAGTGAACCTAGAAAGGGCTCATTTCTATGGAAAAGCCCAGTCATGCCATCCCTCTACCCACACACTCAAGCCCCCAGCACACGCCCTGCAGTAAAGACCAGAGCTTGCTCTAGACACAATGGAAAAGTCTTGAGGGGTGGGTCGGGCTTGTTACTGGGCAACTGAATCTGTGAAATTACAGAAAAGACAACAGGAGCAGCAGGCAGAGTGGCCTTGGCACGGTTCTTGGTCAGCTCAATCCCTGGCACTGTTCTTCTAGAGTCCTGCCTGAGGCTGGGGTGGGGGTGCACAGTGGGGTGACAGACAGAACCCGTAATGAACAAAATCCTTGACTTTCAACAGAATGAACAAGGCTGTGGAATCTCTTGACCCAGTATAAAAGGAAAGCTCAGGAACAGTTGAGGTCCAGGATCAAGGAGCAGCCGAGGCTCACCATTTTTACCTTGGTTTTCCTCTTCTCTGTGGGAGAAAAGCCATAGAGGTGTGGGCTGGGAGCAAATGTGGGTCCCCAATGAAGCCTCAACAGGATGATGAGGGGTCTGGGAGTTGGGCTGCCATGACATCCTGGCATTAGGGGCTAGCTACTGCTAGCAATGCACAGGTGCCGAGGCCACCTCCCAGTGGCGTTGCGTTTTGCAGGATAGATGGCACACGTGTGTGATGCCTGGCACACGCTGGGAGGCCAAGAACGCATCAAGCATGGAGGCAGGCAGAGGATCCAGAAGGTGGGGCTGGAGTCCCCACAAGCTGTAGCTCAGCACCTTGGGTGGTGGTTAAAAATGTAACAACTTGGGCTGCATCTCAGGCCAGAAGAATCAGTCCCTGGGGTGGGGCCAGGGAGCCCGTGCACTAATGAGCATCCTGCATGACTGCACACCAGCTCTGGGGAGCAGCGGAGAAGGCCCTCGGGAAGGAGGGGGAGCAGAGGGTAGGATGAGGTTTGTTCGGATGCCTGTGAGTCTGACTGATTTGTGAGCGGGGCTTGGCAGGTGCTGCAGTCAGCCTCTCCTGGATGTGTCTATTCCTGTCCTCAAAGGCACCTTGAATGCGAGGCTGTCGTGTGAAGATGAGGAGCATAATAATCTCATTTTGAGAGAGACAGAGAGAATAGAGAAAGAGGAGCAAGGGGAGAAAGAGAGAAACAGAGACACTAAAAATAAAGATACACACACATGAGAAACAAAGAGAGAAGGGAAACAGAATACCAGAGTCAGAAGGATGAGCACAGACAGACAGACATGGAGCTGGAAGGAAACAGCTGCAGACACAAAGACAGCTGGGGCGGCTTTCCCGTCTCCCCACTGTGGGAGACCCACAGCCATGAGCATGGTACCCCATTCCTATGGGCTTCCTCCTTAGACTCCTCTTAGGGCACACGTGGCTGCCTGCCTGCATGCGCTCCAGCTTCCCTATTACTGCATTTGCCCCAAGTACTCTCCTACCAGGCCCTCCGAGCTGCCCGCTCAGCAGCTGCAGAGGAGTGGAGGTTCTGGCCTCCCTGTACTAGCTATGTGAACTCACTGCTCCGGAGGAGCCAGCAGACCTTTGAAAGAGGTGGTTGAAGGCAATAACAGAAGGCCTTCTGAGTGGCAAGCACCCTAAAGTGAGCACAGCCTCTGGGGCTAGCAAATCTGTGGTCTTCTAATCCCAGCTCTGGCACTTAGGGATCTCGGGTGAGCCTCATCTTTCCTCATTTGTAAAACGGGGATTAACCTCAGGGTTCCTGAGAGATTTAAATGAGATTTTATAGGCTACCGCTTGGCACAGGATGGGAGCTTCTACATGTGGTATATCTTAGGGGTTCCTAAGAGCCTCCAATTCGAGTTTCAAGAAACCAACAATTTTACAGAAGGGAAGAGCCTGGTCTAACTGTCTGCCTTCAGACCATATATGTATTTAATGTAATTACAGTAAATCCTCAACATTGTAGATAGGTTCTTGCTAACTGCAACTTTAAGCAAAATGATGCACATCAAGTTCTCAAATAATGTCATTTTTTAATAAAGCTGATGGAGCTGGCTGCAGTGGGTCACGCCTGTAATCTCAGCACTTTGGGAGGCTGAGGCAGGTGGATCACCTGAGGTCAGGAGTTTGAGATCAGCCTGTCCAACATGGTGAAACCCCATTTCTACTAAAATACAAAAATTAGCTGGGTGTGGTGGCGCGCATTTGTAATCCCAGCTACTCGGGAGGCTGAGGCAAGGAGAATT